CATGACACTCCTCGCGTAAGGATCTTTGACCCTTCCTCCTGTTTAATCTTCTTCTTCTCTAGCCACAGCGTCTCCCAGCTCCGTTTTTCTGCCAATGAAATCGGTACCCCAATCGTACCAGACAATAGAAACAGGACCACTAGATGCAAAGAATCTTCTCAAGGTGGAGATGAAGGAACTAGCATCTATGGACTCCTTAGGCAAGTGATTACCAGTCCCCAGAGTTTGGAGTTGGCTGCACCTCCACGTGTCTTCTGAGAATGTATCATGCAGGGGCCAAAAATGTTGAACCCAACATTTGTGAAGAGAGGGGCTACTTCCGTTCTGACTGCTGGTAGGTCAGCCATGCACTGTTTTATCACTGGTCCTCTCAATTTCGTGCGTGTAACACACTTGTTGAACTCCTGTGCTACAGTATTGTGCCCTCCAATCAACCAGCACCCAGCTTGATGGATGGCAACGTGGATAATCTGATGACCTTGGTGGTGGACTTGTTGTGGTAGTGACGTGTTATCAGATCGGCAACATGGTTTTTCTTTGGCATCAGAAGAGGGTGCTTTACTCCAAACTCTAAAGACAGCCGCCGACTCCACAAGGAGGCCTAACAGTATAAATTCAAACTCTTCAGTCTCAGGTCTGTTGCTCTCTGTAATCCTCCGCTCCCACTTCAATTCTTCTAAAAGGCTTTCACTTTGTACAGCACAAATTATTACTTTCATGGCTCCTAAAGTTCCTTTGCCGTTCGCTGCCACGTCAATAGTGTGTTCTCGCTGCTTGATATTTTCGACTCAATCTTTTCCTGACGCTTGTTCTTTCGATGTTTGAACTCCTTGATAACTTCGATTAGCTTTGCAATTGCACGGGAATGAACGCTTGAAAATCATGAGAACCTCTCTGCCCTGAGACCATGGCATTTGCTGGCTTGCGTTTTCAGGTTTACAATGTTCTTGTGTATTTCCGTGTTGTTCTCATTTAGTGGAATCTCGTCCTCTTCATCTTCTGCTGCTGCTCTGTTTAAATCTCTCAAGAAGCTTGGTTTGGTTAGTTAGTTTGATGCGTGAGATATTACGCATTCAGACAATGTGTGCTCAGGTCTGTGGGATTCTTGCTTTCATCAGCATACTTCCACTGTTTGGGGCTGGAAATCTCCGAAAGTGTTTGTACACGGTTAGTGACGTAAACATACAACCTCTAGGTCTCGTTCTGGATGTAACTGAGGACAACCTTCGAGTCTGTGTAGAGTGTGATCTCGTTAATCTCCATGTGTATCTCCTTTATGACCTTGTTTACTGCTTGCGAAGGCATGGACAGTGGCACACAATTCTAGGCGGGGGATGCTTGTGGTCTGAGCAGGTGCTACCTTTGATTGACCAAAGAGCAAGGCCAGGCAGATTTTCCCTTTATTGTTAAAAAGCCGTAGGTATATTGACGCTCCAATTGCATCCTTGCTGGCATCCAAACAGGCATGGTTTTCTCTTTTTGCAATTTTCCTGAAACCAGCTGGATGGTAACAGTGCAGTACTGAAACATTCTCCGAATGAGGAAGCGAATTTATCCACTGTTGCCCCTGCAACAATAGCATATCTGGTAGAGGGTCGTCCCATCCTAATAATTTCTCATTGTTTCTCTACCCAAGGAGTACTAGCTGCTGAACAGTAATTTCCCTTCAAGTAAGACTGGCACTGCTAGGCCTAACAGATCATAAATTGACTTCACGACCGATATTACTCCTCTTCACATGAGGGGCTTTTCAGGAAGGCAGAGCTTGAATGTGAAGGTGTCTTCCTCAAGGTTCCAATAAACTCCTAGAGAGTGCTGTGTGGGAAGGCTATAGTGCTGACCATCTAGATCTGGTACTCCCTTTCCCCTATCGTCAGCCGGGAATGCCTCTGTGACTTCGACTGAGCTGGATACGACCTTGTGGAGCTTTAGGTTAGTGTTGGCTAGCATTGCTTGAGTCGCGGTGACAAGATTGATTGCTTCTCTGGTAGTGGGCCGTGATAGCAAGCTGTCGTCAACATAGAAATTACGGTGCACAAAGTCAGCTGCATTCTCTCCAAACTCCTCGTCACTGTCAGTTGCAGTGGTTCTTAAACCAAATATAGCAACAGCTGGGCTTGGTCCATTTCCAAAGAGGTGAACATTCATTCAGTACCAGAAACCCATAAGGGGTTGAAACGTGTAACTCGCGTTCAATGCTCGTGAATATTCATTTTGACCATATTTGGAAACCTTAGTGACGGATATCCATTTTCAACAAAATGGCTGCTGGGCGATCACCATGCAGATGTTTTAAGACAAGAGTTCTGCATTTCAAGGTTAAAAATACACCGTCAAAAGACAAAAAATGGAAAGAGAAAGTTCAAAAGAATGCTCAGCTTTCTTTTTGTGGAGAAAGGGAAGCTTTTCATCAAGAACTCGTCCTTCGAGGAATTGAACCTAGCTTTCTTCACGGCGGAGCCCATGGTCTGTTTTGAAATGCAACCAAGTCAGCGAAGTT